ATGCTACCACTTGCTTAATTTCTTTTAGATTTTTAATACTTATAGGTTTCCATTTACATTCTTTGTATCCATTTGGGTATTGAGCGTTTGCTGACTTTTCAGAGGTAATATCAGGATAAGTAGCTAAAACTCTTGGTAAATCATCTCTGACTCAGAGTGGTTCTGGTGATGCTAAATCCATTACCTGTACCTCCTCTCCTTGCTTATCAGTTCTGACAATTAATTCAAAACTTTTTATCGCTGTCTTTTGTAAAGCCTGAATCTCTTGACCTGTGAATATTTCTAATGATTTCATCAAATCAATTAATTTCTGGTTCTCATTCTGCACATGTGATTCCAAGTATTTAAATTTTCCACTAAAGATATCTTCTCATTCTAAGTTATTATTCGGATGCTGTGTAGATTTCCTTCCTGGAAGGATGTTCTATCTGCTAGCTTATCATAACTTTGAAACAGATTTTGATTGTCAATTTCAGCAGTATGAATCCTTTCAGATAATCTCTCAGTACCCTTTTGTAAGGTTTCATAACCCTTTGACATGGATTGAATTTTGCCTGTCAAATTAAGGTTATCATTTTCAGTAGTATGAATCTTTTCAAGTAAAGAATGTATCCTTCCTAAAGTTTCTTATTCTTGATTCTGAAACCAAACCAGTTCTTTAAGGATATAATATGGAAAACAAGGCTAATAGCTGCTATGATCATAAAAATATATGTACAAGGTAGCTCATATAGTTCTTGCAGAATTCCATCCATAGTAGAAACAAAAAGGTTGTTAAATTTCTGGAAGATGATAATGTCTGCAATTATCTTGTGTTTGGTTTACAATTTTTAAATTTATTTATTTATTTATTGATCAAATTAACTTACCTCCATTATAATTTTTCAGAAAATTATTGTAGGTGTAATAATCTTAATTGGCCAGCAGGTGTCTCAGTTGTGGCAATAAGGCAGAGCCTAGATCGGTACCTGAATTACCTGAGACTTAGAAATATTAAGAGCAGCACATCCACGTACAGAGGTTTGATTTGGGCAGAATATCAAGGAACCCAGAGCTTGCAGAACCCAGAGCCACAAGGTTACTGGCCGAAGCTTAGACACGGCATTTGTGGATCTGAACTGAGAACACAAGCCTGTGTTCCAGGTGCAGAATTAGAGACCCTGCTACCAGAACCAGAGCTTGGCCTGATCAGAGCAGGCCTGGCTGAAGCCAGAGAAGCTACAGAGGAGTTGCTGCAGAAAGAAGCGGGCAGCAATAGCAGGCTGGACCAAACCACACGGTCGGGCCATGGGCAGCAGTAGCTGGGACTAAGCCACTGGGACGCCGGCTGGTAGGAAATAGCCAAATGGCCGCGGTGAGTCAGCTGAGCCAAACCTTGTACAACTGCCCAGGAGGGTAGTTCAGCTGCATGGGGTGGGAGAAGACCAGGGGGGCCTGGGCAGGGCCCGACAGTGGTGTGGACTCAGACCATGCTGGGTGCCAATTTGTTGGCTTTTAAAAGAGTGCCACAGTAGTCCAGAATGGAGTATAACAAAGGTTTATTTATCTGTGGACAAATTCAAAGACAGAGTAGAGATCCCCAGTCCTCTGTGTACACTGGGAATTGGAACTGAATCCAGCAGTCAAGAGGCCCATGCATACTTTTCATTTGCATTTATAGTAGTACATGAGGCGACCCCTAAAGAAGGCCAGTTCCTTTAAGGCCGTTGGCTGAAGGAGTTCCCACAGCAGTGCACTCCTGGCTGTCCTGTAACTTCTTCTGTAGAATAGGCTGGCATCAAACTCAGAGATCAGTCTGCCTCTGCCTCTGCCTTCCAAGTGCTGGGATTAAAGGCGCGCGCCATTCCTGCCCAGCCAGCCTACAGTCTCACACAACCCAGAACCTCCAGCTCAGGGGTGGCACTGCTCACAGTGGGATGGACCCCGCCATGTCAACCATTAGTCAGAAAATTACCCATAGGCCAATCTGGTGGAGGTGTTTCCTCAACTGAGGTTTTGTATTCCCAAATGACTCTAGCTGGTGACAACACACATGCACGCGCGTGCGCACGCACGCACATGATAGTCAATATAATTATAATCTCAGGGTTTTTAGACATACTTGGTCTACTTCACCGATGGGAATCTCACTCGCTGAGAGATGGTCTCTTTTCTGCCATAACTTTAAACAGCATTGTTATCTGTGTTTGTGTGACTAGAGTTGAATATTAATCCTCATGCTAATTCCAAGTAAAGTTTCATAATTGGCTGCTAGAGTAATAAGGAGGTAGACAGGTGCAGCAACTGCCCAACACGTAACCGAACCCAGAACTTAAGGACTAGGCCATAAATGGCTCTTTTGGAGAGTGCCAACAGTGAGTTTTCTACGATTTTCTCTGTGGCTTTAGGCAAGGCTCACACTTCAGTGCCCCTACCCCTGCTCAGACTTGTATAAGCAGGAAGCAGAAACATGGGCTAACTGGAGTGGACTCAGGACGGCTGCAATAATGGCCACAGCCTTGTGTACTCTAGGGGGTGCCACAGAACATTCTGAACGGGAGATGAACTCCAGTTAACCTTGGTGTTCCGAGAAGGCACAGGCCTGTGCCAGCCCCTCTTCCCGTGGTATGTAGAAGCCTCCATCAATCTTGACCCACTGCGTATAAACAGACTCAAAACCAGTTTGTCTTGGAGTTGGCCTGGTTTGCCTCCCATTAAAGATCCACAAAAATACTGTTCAAAAACCATCAGTCCTCACAGGACCCCTCAGGGTGCCCCTTTGCTGGCTCCAGGAGTGAAGCTCCAGGGTGTATAATCGTTTTTAGCATAAATCAGTCCAAGGCGAGGAGGGAGGCTCTGGGGGACCATGGAACAGTGTCTGGCATTCTGCTGATATGCCTCAAATAGCTCCCAATAAAAAATGGACATGGTTTTCTGGTACACTAGGCTGATTGCTCGACTCTTGGGGAGTTGAATACTTGGAAGCAGAGGGAAAAAAGATGAAGGTTTCTGAGGCTCTGGCTAGTGCCCTAGTAATATTCATACATTCATTTCCCCTCATCAGAAAGACAAGTTTTCTGCAGGAGGGAAGGGAAGGCACGAGCACCTAAGCATCCCAGGCCAGTGCTCAGAACCATGAGACACAGAGCAAGCAGAGTGATCTGGAGTCAAGAATAGATTCACACAGTTGTCGAGGGCTGTTTTGGCCTTTTCTGTGTCAATCTAACCATTACCTAAAGCAAATTATCTGATTTGAAAAAGCCTTCATTTTCTTTCCCTAGCAATGTGAGGGTAAACTGAAAGCATTATATGAACAAAAGTCACTGCTCACATGTTCATGACGATACAGGACACAAGTGACTTGATTCTCAGGACCAGAGCTATGATTCCATCTGTTTCTTCATCTTTGCTTCATTCTTGAAGATGGAGGATGATCTGACTGACAAGTTACCCTGGCAATAGGGTAACTGGGAATTCAGGCTAAGTGTAGGCAGTTCTAGGTTCTGAAGTCTCAGAGAAGAAACTCATAACTTAGAAAATAACACTGTCCATCCATCATATCATATCAATCTATTTATCATTTGTCTATCTATCTATCTATCTATCTATCTATCTATCTATCTATCTATCTATCATTTGTCTATTTATCTATCTATCTATCATCAGGATTATCTAGTGTCATTGTCCTTTAAAATGGTATCATTCTACAAGATTAGCTGTTGGACACAGAACTCTTTGCCTACAGGAATATATTGAGGGAGTTAAAATGATAAGGTTGCCCTCATCTTCTATTATGAAGTGTGTGTGTGTGTGTGTGTGTGTGAGAGAGAGAGAGAGAGAGAGAGAGAGAGAGAGAGAGAGAGAGAGGGAGGATGTGTGTGTGAAGGTCAGAAGTTTACATCCAGTGTCTTCCTCAACACACTCCACCATATATTTTGAGACAGGGTCTCTCATGAAACTTGGAGCTCCATTTTATCTAGCCTGGCTGTCAAAGGAGTACAGGGATTCACCCGTCTCTCGCCCAACCCTCTATTGGGAACTATACACATACTGTTAACTCTGACTTCTACTTGGGTGCAGAGGGTTAGGAATCATATACACACTGTTAACTCTGTCTTCTACTTGGGTGCAGAGGGTT